CAGGAAATAATGAAAGAAGTGTAACCTTCAAATGCTCTCGTATAAATTTACCAAGCTTTTTTCTGAGACTGTGTATTATAACTATTCAAGAAGATCTTTTGATTATCGATTTTTTCTTCCTTTTTCGTTCTGAGTCCCTCGATTTCAGATTTTTCAAAAATAATTTTGTTGAATGTCGCGTCTGTGTTTCGCACGTGAACGTAGGCGCGTTTACAACTCTCCGGAGACCAATCAGCTTCAATTAGCGCAGTAGGTTGTGAAATAGAACTGGTGATTAGCAAATTTATACTGTCATATAACTACGAAAAACAGCAAATATAACATCAATTGAGAAGTGTGAGCTTAGTAACTTTTGCAGAATCACATTGAAAGTGAAATTTGCAAAGTTAAATGCTAATTGTTTAATGGAAGTAGTTTTGAGCTCGTTTGATGTGATTTAGATAACTGGTTTATCAGCTTATTTTTTAATTGCTGGGAGCACCTTTATAGGTATTAAATTAGTATCAGTAACAATAAACATCAAGTCTAGATTTTCTTGCTCGGCGCTACAAAAAAAAATGGTTAGGGTTTGCAGGAAATGACTTTCATTTAACATCACAAGTCTAACACTTTATCACCTCTCGAATTCGTATGATAGTCTTGCAAAAACGGAAAAAAATTTGGTGCACGTGTGATCATATTAGATTGTTGCAAAAATAATGGCCCATTTTGCGAATTCTCACTTTGACGTGCTACAACTTCTTGAAAGATCCACATTTCCGAATGCAGTGACGATCATCAGAAGCAGCAAACTTTCTGCAATACAGTGTACATTTACTTATACTCGCATCACGAACGGGTAGAAAAATATGGATTGAAAAACAGAAAGGTTCTTCTGCTAGAACCTTGTTTTTGACATTTCATAACTTCCTTCAAAGTTTGTTAGTATCAAGACCTTATAATAACGGGCTAAGGGTTGTTTACGTGTTTTGTGTGTGTGTGTGTGTGTCCGTCTGTTACGAAATTCGTGGAGCGTGTTCCAGCCAGCGTTTTAAGCCCAAATTTTGCATAGCGCATGCTACCTTCATGAAAGTTCAACGTGCAAAAGCACGAATAGATTCGTTGAATGGGTCCCTCAGAAATTGCGCGCCAAACGGATCCACCTGGCTTCTGTCCCGCAAAATTGGGTCCATATCACCACTTTTTGCAAAGTCCTGGATGTGTTTGGTAAGCAAATGTGCAAGCGATGGACTTTAGCCCAAAAAGTGGTCAAAAGTTTGCTACATAACGAAAACGGCGCCAGAAAGAGTTGGTTGCGTAAATGGTTAATTTGCTAAGGTTCTAGCTAAGCGTTTCAAAAGATTTTCGCACAGAGATGTAGCTCACGGTTACTATTGCCTTTAAGGGGACTACCAAGCCATGACAACTTCAAAAACCTATTCAAATTTGCGTTTGTCTTCCTACGAAAAGTTTCATCCACGCGAAATCACCGATCTCACGTGAAAAAACTTTCTGAATGAGTAGCTGTTTACATTTAATTCGTGGTAGTCGGCATAGTGCGGTAAGTTCCATTGCCACGATTTTACGAGAATGAGTAAGGCACATAGATAGTAGAGCCAGTGCGAGCCTCTGCGAAGCAGAGGTGACGCACTGGTGAATGATAAGTAGACTACTTTGTAGTCGCAAGCAGTACAAAACACAATAAATAGAATTCGGATAAAAAAGTGAAAAAGAAAAAAATTAAAAATTTCTCACTTATTTCAACATTTTTTCAGTGTACCTCAAAGTCCCAAATATAGACTTTTCTTATTTTCTGCCTACTGAACAGCTGAATGTTTTTGCAAAAACTGCTATTAGGATGCCGTAGCCCTACGCTTACATAATTGAGCAAAGCTTCGGCGATTGACTTCTTCAAGAAAATTATCTTATATATAAAGCTGAATGTCTGTTTGTCTGTATGTATGTATGTATGTATGTATGTATGTATGTATGTCTGTGTATACGTATGTTCCGAATAGAAAATTCCATTTCTGAACCGATCCGGACCAAACTTGGCACACATACACTTCGGGCCTCGGCGGGTGTCATAGGCTACTTTTCGTCATCGATCGATATCGATTTTATCGATTTTTTTGCTGAGTTCACCTACGGGGCTGGGAGTTGGCACAGGGGGGTAATCGAGCATGGGGATTCCGAACACAATATTGGTTTTCAGGATTATCGATTACTTTTATCGATTTTATCGATTTTTTTGCAAAGTTTGAGCTAGGGGGCTAGGAGTTGGCACAGGGGGGTAATCGAGCATGGGGATTCCGAATACAATATTGGTTTTCAGGATTATCGATTACTTTTATCGATTTTATCGATTTTTTTGCAAAGTTTGAGCTAGGTTGCTGGGAGTTGGCACAGGAGGGTAATCGAGCATGCTGATCACCTCCGTGGGGATGCTCGATTACATCTCTCTGCCAAATTCCAGCCCCCTAGCTCAAATTTTGCAAAAAATCGATAAAATCGTAAAAGTAATGCACGGTTTCGAAAACTAATATTGTATTCGTAATCAGCATGCTCGATTACCCCCTGTGCAAAATCCCAGCCTCGCATGTCAAACTTTACAAAAAAATCGATAAAATCGATAAAAGTAATGGACGATCCTGAAAACTAATATTGTGTTCGTAATCAGCATGCTCGATTCCCCCCCCCCTGTGCAAAATCCCAGCCTCGCATGTCAAACTTTACAAAAAAATCGATAAAATCGATAAAAGTAATGGACGATCCTGAAAACTAATATTGTGTTCGTAATCAGCATGCTCGATTACCCCCCTGTGCAAAATTCCACCCCCCTGGCTCAAATTTTCAAAAAATCGATAAAATCGATAAAAGTAATGGACGATCTTGAAAACTAATATTGTATTCGTAATCAGCATGCTCGATTACCCCCCTGTGCAAACTCCCAGCCCCGCAGGTCAAACTTTGCAAAAAAATCGATAAAATCGATAAAAGTAATCGATAATTCTGAAAACTAATATTGTATTCGGAATCCCCATGCTCACTTCCCCCCCCCCCCTGTGCCAACTCCTAGCCCTGTAGGTGAACTCTGCAAAAAAATCGATAAAAATCGGTAAAATCGACATCGATCGATAACGAAAAGTGGACTGTGACACCCGCCGGGGCCCGAAGTGTATGTGTGCCAAGTTTGGTCCGGATACGGCGGAGCCGGGTAAGCCAGCTAGTGGGTTATAAAATGACCGCAACAGCTACTCATATTTAGGCGCCGATATCTTAGTCTGGATAACTTCAAAGAATGCAGTCAAGTATGCTGTAGATCACTTCTATTACATACTACAGCTAAATTTTCGGAGAAGTGCCATTGATACGCGCTTGAGTTCTGGCAAAAAAAGTGGATGCAATGAAATTCTGAATTTGGATGCGGTTATCTGTATCTCAGTAACTTTATAACAGATGAGGATGGAAGCGCCTTTCAAACACCATTAGATAGAGCATGAAAACAGTTTCTCTCGATGGTACATTACATCTATTTTGAAGGAGAAGTATTGATGAAGTTGCCCTGAAAAAAGGGAAAGGGTTTGGAAAATCGGCCATTATTTCTGTACCAACTTAATACATGCATTGCAAGAGATTTTGGAGTAAATATGACTTATTGAAACTTTGGCACTATGTGGATTGTGACGTGCGCTGCAAATGTGCACTAATTTTTTATATTGATAATAAATAGAATAAATCCATGCATTTTCGAAGGCTGGTGAAATCCTAGGTTCTGTGACGAAGCAAAAATGTTGCTGATTGCAATCAAGCACATGGAGCCGAGACTGTAATAAAGGTATCATTAGAGCCAGACTCGCTAAGATTGGCAAAGAAAGAGAAAAAAGAAATGGAAGTCAAGACAAATCGAGATTCTGACGCCCTCGGGAAGTTGGATGAGTTGAGTCGTCGACGCTGCCGCGGGCAATTCGGTGACTAAGGAAATGGAATTTCAGACATTGCCGAAACATCACAAAACATTTTGGTTGACATAGGAATCACCGTAACTTAAGAAGATTTTATCATGTGCAAACATTACATGATCAGCATGATAACCCATTCAGGCCTCGGCATAGTTCAAGCGATTCCGTCGCCTCGCGATTCTCCCTGCAAAACATGTTAGGCAAGGGACATACTTCACGCGATTTCAGTCGCCACGCGATCTGGCAATTTGCCATATGTCTTCAAATTCAATACTCGAAGACCTCAAGTGCACAGCATGTATAACTTTCGTAGGCTGATAAAATGCCCCCTCTTCCGTACATTCGAAACCCCGTAGGATGAGTTATGAACATTTGGAGTATTGCCAAATCGCGTGGCGACTGAAATCGCGTGAGGTATGCCCGAGGCCTTATGAGTGCATTGCATGGCGACCATCTTGTATCTCAGTTGTGGTAGATATTCGCGATTGGTCGTGTCGGAAAACTATCACAACCGAAGTGCAAGAGGATCAGCATGTAATGAACTCGTAACAGTGTTTTGTTGAGAGAATCGCAAGGCATGAACGCGTGAACTATGACTGAGGCCTTAGGCTAGATTTAGGCCGTATCTGTAACTGTCTGTAATTTTGTCCCTTACCATCCCCCCCCCCCCTCCCCCTCCACTCCTCGTAAACTCAGAGCAGCCCTCAATAGCAGGATGTTCTAGTGTAGTTTGAACTCACAACATGAACTTCTTAATGCCAAAGATTGAGACAACGTAATGAGAGAGAAAAAGTTGTGAAAAAGTTGCAAAACTTAGTTATAAACCTATTGATAATTCAAAAACATTTTGCAAAGTTAGTGTCAACACCAAAAAAAGGAGCTAAGTTTTTATTTTTTTTAATTGCTGATGAATTCACGGTAATACCGTGCAAACCCGTGTCAGTCACTTGATGACAAAAGATTCATTAAGTTTTGTCAACTGATTTGCACTGATTTTTGACGAAAGAGTACAAAAAGTGTTGATTTTCGTTTGGGATTTTTGCGACCAACTTCTTTCAGGCTGATGTTGTTGCTCCTATAGGCGAAGAATGTTGTGCAAAGACAGTAGAAGGTAGATTGCAGCAATCATAGGAAATGTATTACATTAGTTTATTTCTTTGTAGATTATCTAACTGACGGTGAAGTGCTGTGCTATTGTTGCGCTGTGACGATCAACAGTGCCGAGGAAGACTCCGAAACCCCACTGGGCAGACTGGCGGTGGAATGGAGACGGTAAGGAGAGTTCGAAATATCTTTATGAACCTGGTAACAAAAAATAAATAAATCAAATAAATGAACAAAAACCTGAATATCGATTATGACAGACGTTGCCAAGAAAGTGTGCAAATAGGTGTAGATCTCAATAGCACTCCAAACTCAGTTTTTCATGGCTCTGAGTGAGTTTTTCTTGAACCTCATGACAAAATTAGAATTGTTAAAGCAGCGGCTGACCAGTCGGCCTCATCGCCATTCTCAGAGCCTGGAAAGATCGCTAGACATTTGTACTTATCCTCCCAAACACCTGTCCGACGTATACATATTAGGTTTTATAAGGGTTTTCAATTTTCAAATCTGCCCGGAAAAAAAGTTTCCGGGCAGATTTGAAAATTTCATTTTAGACTCATTTTTCGCCCTCGGTTCAAGCTTCTTTTCTCTTCTCGGCAAACATTCTTATGGTTCTGTAAAGAAAGCATAAGCTCTTCGGAGTCGCATCTAGTTTTTATCGATGCCGTATTTGAATTATACGTCAAAAAGGAAGTATGTGCAACGATGAAAATTTCACAATTTTTCTTTTTGCTGTCATTTTTTCGCAGTGACCAAAGAAAACTATGGGTTGGTCAATCTGAGTAAGGAGGTTGTCCACTTCAAATCCGCAGCCGTGTTCAGATTTTACAATACGTGTACAACAATTACAAGCTCTCAAATTTGCCTTTGACCGTACCTGTTTCGCAGTTGACCTCGATTTTGTGAAGATCGCCACACCTCGGTGATGGGCTCAAAAGATGTGCAAGACATTACTCCCAACAATATCTGCAGCAATCAAAGGGGGCACCACTAAAAATTTTCGGAGTGCGTGGCTAACGCCATGCTCCTTCATTTGAATAAAAGATTTTTGCCGCCTCCGGGCGGAAATCCTGGGATCGCCACTGCGTGAGGCTGATGTATTTTAGCTTCAAAAAATTACTCATTGTGATCTCGAATGACATCAGCGAAAATGTTGATTGCATTGAGCTATGCTCTTTCCATCCCGTTAGTAATACCTATGCTCACATAAGTGAATGATTGAGGGTCATCGTCCGCTGTACACGTGCATTCTCACGTGAATCTGGTAAAGTTGACTTTGTACATTGTAGGATTAAAACTTTTTCTGTGATTCTGCAGACAATGCAAACACTAGAATGACTAATTGACGGACATTGTGTTAGAGTTTTTGATGAAATTTGTTTTACCCAATCAGCTTCTGCTTCCGTGTCGGAGAAAAAATCTTGCAATTTCCCTCTTTCTCGGAAAAAAATGATATTTGGTTACTTTTGAAGTCTAAAGTGTATGCCTATCCGCACGACCGTAATGCTACTAGATTCCTTCCCGGACCGCAGTCGCGCGCGACGCGTCAAGACAAGTCAAGCAGGGTAGCTGTTGGATACTGTCGTGCAAAACGGCCGTTCAAAACGTTGCCAACTTATGTTCCTTTTGCTATTTTTGTAGACTTGCTGCAGAACCAGGATCTAGCACGAGGATGGGTGGCAAATGTCAAGTTGAATCTTGTTCAGGGGAAAAAATAAAGGAGTGTCGATTCACACATTCACATGCACGACCCATTCCTCAAATCCATTCCCGTAACGAACAAGCTTTCACGCAACTGCGTGCTCAAGGGGTTTCGGTACGGATCTCTTAGCAGTGCCTTAGTACCCTCTCATCAGTTTCCATGCAAAAACCCATGCGCCCTGATTTGCCTGGACACTGCCTTTGAAGGCAGCGTCCAGGCGAATCTGGACACATGGGGATTGCACTAGAGAATGATTTTTTTTATAACTAAGCCCTACCCAAGCGGCAATCAGATCGTGCACTTGCGGTTGAGATTCACTTCCCAAACTAGTCAACCGTATCTGGCGGACGCATTGCATTGGGTTACTTGCTAATGCTGAGGACCCACCGCTTTTGGGGTGGAGAGCCAGTGTGCGCCGTCTCCGCGGACAACTGCTCCTTTGCATGTGCTATGACGTATCGTGTGAGGATCAGGTCCGTTAAGAGGCGCCTCGTGCCACCGTATTTGATACCTGGATTGCTGATGCTGAGGACTCATCGCCTTTATGATGGAACCCCGCGCAAAATCCTCTTAACCGATGCAAGTCGTTTGCTATATGTGTTGCTGGGAACAGATGCCTGGAGGACGCCTTTAAGTCCGCATTGTGCAACCGCGCAGGTGGGCGTTCAGGTGGGTATTGGTAATAACTGGAAGTGAGGCGTACATTCGTTGTCACTGTTGGCGTGTTTACCGCCTATTAACATTTCAGCAGTGCCTGTATGACAACGTTCTACATATATAGTCATTTGCAATGCAACCTGAGCTCAAACGTGACTACTCGCTGAACTTAAGCATATCATTTAGCGGAGGAAAAGAAACTAACAAGGATTCCCTTAGTAACGGCGAGTGAACGGGGAGGAGCCCAGCGCTGAATTTCTCCGTGTTATGCCGTTGAGAAGTGTAGGGTATGGGCTATGGCTTCCGGTTTGTGCTGCATGCCCAAGGTCCCTTTGATAGGGGCCACATTCCCGAGAGGATGCGAGACCTGTGCGGACAGTGGAGCAAGCTGTATGGTCATATCTTGGAGTAGGGTTGCTTGAAAATGCAGCCCAAAGTGGGTGATAAAATTCATCTGAGACTGAATATAGACGCGAACTCGATAGCAAACAAATACTGTGAAGGAAAGTTGCAAAGAATCTGAAAAGGGATTTTAAGAGGACATGAAATCGCTGGAGTGGAACCGGAGAGAGTTGACGTAGTCGGGTAACTAAGTTTGCCAAAATCGCTTAATTGTGGTGGCGGCGGATGATGAGTTCATTTCTCAGGTGTTCTGTTACCCCTCGTGCAGGCCCTATTTCAGAACGTAAAAGCTGACAAAGCTACTTGCGCGCATCTAGCACTGCAGTCCCCATCAGAATTCTCAGTTGTTGAATATCTTGACAAAGGTATTTTTTCCGTTCAGTACAAGTTCACGTCAAGTCTAGCGACTGGAAAAAAGTTTGAAAGATAAATCATTGTCTGCGATTCTTTTTTTCCTGCATGAGAAAAGTTGCAAAGTTTGCAGAAAAATGAAAATGAGCTGTCTAGACGCAGAGGAGAATAGATTAAAATTTCTTTGCGTTAGAAAAAGCTTGGTCATACTATTACACTTTTGCTGCAATGCCACGGCTGTTACAATTACGGTAGTTTCCGTAATTTCAGGTCAGGTGGAGGGAGTACGGTACGATCAGTGGTTCCGTTGTGTCGGATACCCCTGCTCCAATGTCCAGTGTCAGTTACTGGCACGTTAGTAGATCCACGAGCAGCTACAGTAAGACATCCAATCCGAGTCGCTTATTCAATACGAAGCCATTCGAAAGAGGTGACGAATTTCGGAGGTCTCTATGACCTAGAATTTTGATCTACATTTTTCCAGGCAATTGAATTGACGGCATCGTTCGATCTAGCTGATGTGTTCATGTTTTGCGGTGAGAAAAGGGTATGTTTCTCTCGCAGCTCTTACCTTGGTCTAGTTTTGCCTCGATTTTTTGTGAATCTCAAAAGCAGCGCCGCTTATGCGTGGTGATGCGAGAAGCCACGTAAAATTTTAATCTATTGCTTTTTCTATTGCAAAGTCCTAAAGATTGTGTGAGTCTGGACCCTTGTATATAAACACTGACAATAGTAATCAATGCAAGAGAAAGAGAATTGGGATGCGAATGCGAAATATTTTTCCGTGCACCAGACATTACACAAATAAAAGAGGAATGGTGGAGAAGGAGTACTGAAACATTTCCTGCATAGTTTAAATTTTTGACGGTTTTCATCCACAAAGTCTTGGAAGAAGTATGCTATGACTGTGTGTCAGTGACGGTTCGAAAAATTCTTTTCGGGACAGGGGTGCGGCAGAAATTTTGTGGAAATGAAAAGACCTTAATTAAGTTTTTGAAAAATCTTTTTGGAGCGCTTTGCTAAAATTTTCGTTTTGTAACTTCACAAAGCTAATTTGAATTTTTGAGGATTTACTTTAGGAACTCAAATAATTCGGTAAAACAAGCTTTCTGTGTCGCTCCTCAAAATTTCACGACCTGTTGTCGGGAAGGGGGTGGAAGGGGGGGGGGGGGGGGAGGGCTACAATGAAAAGAGACTTTGTACAAGTTTGTAATCAGAAAGGAAATGTGAAGCACAAGGCAGTACTTTATAAGTTGCGCAAAGTTTTCGTCGTATTCGACTGAGAATACGGCTATTCTTGTACAAGATGTTGAGAACAGCATTGTTCGAGCATCGTGCTGAGGTCTGTAATGGAGAGATAAAACCTACAAGACAGTGTAAAAAATAATTTGCTCTTGCAACCAAAAGCGCAGCTCAAATGTATTCATCTGAAGTTGTTTTTTATTTTTGAACTTGTCAAAATCTGGAAAACATGGCTTTTTCTTTTGAAATTTTGCAGTTTTTTGAAGATGTCGTTAACTATACTTTTGAATGTTTGTTTCAAGGGGAAGTGTTATCATTCGTGACTTAGCGGGCTGTAGTTCTGCAAATACACTCAATTTTATTTATAATTTTACAAATTTTCTGATGAGGGAAGATCCAAACACGAAAATTGTATACTTTTTTGCCAGTAATGACAAAGAGAGTGTTTCCTCATCATGATCTCATTTCAACTGGGGCATAGTTTTGTTTCCTTGTAGATAAGTAATGTTTTACATACAAAGTGAATATGCTTGAAACTCTTTTCTATTTTTTGACATTTTTCTCTTTGTTTAGTGTTAATTTTAATGTCTTTCTGCAATTTCTTCACCTTCAACTGAATTCCAGAAAACCTTCAACTTGATGCCATTTGAAAGTTATTCAATAGTTGTCGTAGTGATGGCGTTGACAGCTGGACGACTTCCTTTCCCAAAGATCTCGTTGAAGTGAGTAGATCATCCTTCTGAACTCAAAATTCGTAGTATATTCCTATCCAGGTTTAGGTCCCCGGTGATCTCAGACGACACTTTACAGCACACGTCCAGAGCACTTCCTGCTAATTTATTTGTACTGGTGAGTCACTGGAAATTTTCTTGTTTGGGACCAACTCGAGTGAAATGATAGGGAATTCATCAAATAGCAACTTTGAAAGCTATCAAGGAATTCTTAGTGTGAACTCTACAATATCTATCCCGCTCGTGAGGTTTTTCCTTCATCTGTCCTACTCCTTGTGGCTTTTTTATTTACCTCATACATATTCGTTTTGATTGCCCTATCGATCATCACTAAGTAGCTAACGATTCGCTAAAAGATCCTGTTTACATAGGGTCTAGCAGAAATCAATGGGACCATGAAACGTCATCAGATTAGATCTCAAGAATCTTAACTCAGACTCAAGTCTTATATATAAAGCTGAATGTCTGTCTGTATGTCTGTACGTATGTGCGGAATAGAAATTTCTATTTCTGAACCGATTTGGACCAAACTTGGCACACATATACTTCGGGGCAGGGAGCGTGTCATAGTCCACTTTTCGTTATCGATCGATGTCGATTTTACCGATCAACCCCTTCGGGGTGATCAGCATGCTCGATTACCCCCCCCCCCTGTGCGAAATCCCAGCCCCCTAGCTCAAATTTTGCAAAAAATCGGTAAAATCGACATCGATCGATAACGAAAAGTGGACTATGACACGCTCCCTTCCCCGAAGTATATGTGTGCCAAGTTTGGTCCAAATCGGTTCAGCGTACACGGGCGGAGCCGGGTAAGCCAGCTAGTACTTTGATAAATTTTTGGTTCCGCGTAGATGACGTAGGTGGTTCTTTAAAAGATGTTCAACCTAATGGTTGTTTATGCTTGTGGCCTGGACTGAACAGGTTGTTAAAATAATCAAATATGTTTTCCCATGTAGTCTAATGAATGAGAATGTTTCTCTCTGAATAGGCTAGTAGATAGTGAAAGTATATCGCCTACGCCTACATCATTGTGAAGAACAGCATCAATGGAATTCGCGATTTTTCCAGAGAGTTTTAGATATCGAAAAAATGTAAGAAAATCACGTGTTTTTTTTTTATAAAATTGTATCTTTCCCTCAGACACCGCATATCGAGGTACAGGCCAGCACGACAAAAATTTCGCATGACAGCAAGAGATACGGTATTAGGTTTTTAACCAAAAAAACCTATTACCGTACCTTTGTGCTGTTATATGATATTTGATATACGGTGACTGGTCCATCCATTTTCACATCTATCCTTTTTGTTTATATGGAGCGAGTTACTGCTCCTTTCATAACAGATTTTTTTGTTCAAGGATCATCTTCCCATAACTTGTTGTTCACATCGGCAACAGTAAATAAATGTCAGTTTGAGCGCTAAAATGTCTTGGCATTTTTACTGTAAATTAACCGTAGGCGGAATCCTGGTGTCAATATTCTTTATGTTTTCGTATGAAGTGACAAACTTATTCTAGCACTTTCTGTTTTTATCGGGCGTGCATGATTACGTGGTCAACTAAAATGCACGCTTATCGTCAGAGATATCAACGTTTTAATTATTATATGTTAAACAAACTTTAATTACCATTTGACTAAATATACTTTCGAAATTGTTGTTTATCCGTAGCTTCAAAATATCTTCTGAAGCTAAGACTAAACAAAATTTCACCAAAGTGTTGAAAGTCACTGCAAGAATTTCTAACATTAAAAGAAAGATATCTTGCAGCTAAGGATTAACAACAATTTTGAAAATACTTTTTCAGATGGCAACTAGGTGGTTTGTAATATGATGAGTTATGGTTTCCCCCATTATGTCGATTAGGCCATCGAGTTAGAATAGAAGTATAATAACGTATACCTAATTATGATAGTTATTGTAGTCATCATGAAAAGTTTGGGAAATTTTGAGAGAAGTTTCATTCATATGGGCACGGAAGTAACGGTTATAATCAGGTTATAGAGTCACCAGGGCTCAGCACGAGCTATTAGGTCGAAAAAGTTCCCTTTAAAGTTTTGACCATTTCTCGAGTAAGTAACTTTGAAGTCTTGTCGTTCTGCACAGGGTGGACCAAATCTTTGATTACTGCAAACATTGTTGTGGTAATGCCTTACACATCTTTTGGACCCATCGTCCAGGTGTGTGCGAAAAGAGTTGCAGTCACAAGTTCGAATGCTTGTAATTTCTGAGCGCAAATGGCAAAACTCGGTGCAGTTGTGGGTCAGAAGTTAACTGACTTTCCAATCAGATCACATATGATTTGGACGAAATTCTTTTTGCTGCACAAAAAATGGCCGTAGGAAGAAAAATTGTAGAATTTTTTATGGTTGGAAAAAATTTTTTCTTGATGTGCAGATCAGACACGTCTTGGCATCGATAAAAAAACACAACACGTTTTGAGAAGTTTAGGCTTCCCTCTACGGAGCAGTATAAAAAAACTTGGTGTTCAAAGTCCGACCAAGCGCCGAAAAAATGCGTTTGGAAATTAAATTTCCAAAAGTGCCAGGAAACTTTCTTTAGAACCTAATAAAATCAAGCAGTTTTTGTGGCGAAGAATCCCGCTGATTTCGCAAACTGCAAAGTCCCCTTCTATCTTACAACACTAACACTATTTCTTACTTGTTCATCCTTTGCGCGCATGCTTCGAATTCGTCCTAATTCATGGTCGATGCTTGAACCACCGCTCCACGACGTCATCTTCCAAAGAGACAAGTATATCGAACACCGAACCGAATTCCGGTTAAAGTGAACCATCGCACGTTGTTAGCTTAGGGGCGCACTTCGCCATTGGAGCGAGATGGCGCGACTAAGCAATCTCTAAGGGCTATAACAAAGCATAGAGGAGTGTGAAACCATTTTATGATAAGTAAAACCTTTACGAAGCATCTACAGTTTCTTGAGATTATTGAAAATCATGTGAGCAGCGCCCCAACTGGTAGCTAGCTAGCTGGAGCGGTCCCAGCTATTTCGGGAAGAAGTCGGTCATGGCTTCCGTCTACCTAATTCAATAAAGTTTCCAGTGGTCTGAGTTTTTTTCAAGCACATGTGCACACCAAATTTGGCATCATATCATTTCGATTTGTTCGTGAATTAGGCATTCGTGAGTTTGAGGCACAATTAGAAATTCTGCGCTATGCGAGGAGTGTTAATATGGGTAACGGTCGTCTTGACTTTTTAAACCGGTGACAGTGTCCATTTGTGCATGTTCTAAATTAGTACATAATCGAGTCTGATTTTTCTGCATTTTTTAGGGCTACTATTCAAACCCCTAAAATAATTTTTTTGCTTTCTCCCTCAGAAACGATATCCAGCTTGGCCTAGTTCCAGCTGTGCCAGGCCCTGGACGTGACTTCCTCTAAGCCCAGGCCCTGGACGTGACTTCCTGTAAGCCTCAAGTCTGGCTTACTATTCTATTAATATTGTGAACTAGATTATAGGTCGAGATCAAATCTATTACTGTCTTCTACGTTATAGGCTTACAGGTGATTAGGCCTATAACTTTATTGGGAATGCAACTTCCGGGAATTCACGATTGTGACACTTCTCGAAGTTTTCCCATAACTATCAGAACTGTAACTATAGTTACAGTTCTGATAGTTAGGGGAAAACTTCGAGAGGTGTCTAAATTGTAAACTGTAGTTACAGTTCTAAAGTCAAAGTTAACAATATTATTTTGTAATTTTATTACATCAGAGGTTCAAAGCCTAGATTAGGCCTTACGTTCAAGCTTGCCTCAATTGGTGAAAGACATCAGACATCTTGAACTTGATTCATGCTTGAAAAAATTAAGTTGTCATTTTGATGTAAAAGTTCGCGGCTGATGAACGGTTTTTTGTAGCACAATGGACTTTAAGCCAATTCCGCGGCCTTTACACCCAAACTTTTTGAATTAAGGGTAGATCAAAAGGTGAAAGTCCAACATCACGTTTCTGCAACTTATGACACGTCATTTGCTTTTATAATTCCAGAAATTTCTGTTGTTCCCGAAAAGTTTTGATACCTTGTCGTTTTACTGAATGTTTGCACAATTTGAAGTTCACTAAAATTTGCTTACGTGTCAAACGTCTGTTGATAAATAGATGAACTCACGGCATGGCACTGTCGCTTATCATGCGGTTAGGGAAAGTGTCTCGAAAATGGTGTAAGCGGGTGTCATGAACGATTGTGATCGTTGTGGTTAAGTCTGTAAACATCATAAATGTTTACTTTGGTGAATGGAAACGCATCTCGATGAAAAGTTTGTGGTTTACTTCAAAATTTAAGCAGAGGGTGGGAAAAGAAATTTTATAACCCTTTTTTGGAAAAGTACTCCCGTACTATTTTCGTTGATCTGTTGAATTCGAACAAGAGCGGTCAGGCTGCTGTAGAGCGCGACATGCATCGGGTCAACTAAGAACCTAATAAGGGTGCCGCGCTCTACTGCGACCCGACTGCTCTAGTTCAAATCGAAGATCTTCCACCACGTGCCTATTCGCATGGAGAAGTCCGCATTCGTTTTGAATATAATTACCGAACTTCTTCTGATTCTAACAATGGAAGGATACTTACTCGCAGTGACGATTGGGTAAGCGGTGTATACCGCGTATACCGGCCCCAGACGGTGATCTTTAAACCGCATTCCATATCTGCTATGACGTCATTCTGGGGGAGTTATAAAGGATTTTTGATGCAGTGGATAGTGGCTTGGACTGCGAAGCTGGATGTCGTGGGTTCGATTCCTTTGGGATGCCAGCCGTTTTGCATTTTTGTAAATTTTAGCAGGTAAGTTGCAAAACCTGTCTACATCAAAAAATTTGATTTTCACAATATGAAGCAATATATTTACATTTATGGCGCTGAACCACCGTCTAACCTAAAAACACTGGTTTTTTGCCTTTTTCATTGAATACTTTACTCAATTTTACATTGAAATTCCGAATTGCACATTTTGTGCTTTCATATCATATGTGTTCATGAAGGCCTTTCAATGTAAAATTAAGTAAAGTGTTCAATGAAAAAGGCAAACGAGTGTGCTTTTAGGTGAGACGGTGGTTCAGTGCCAATAAATGGAAATATATTTGCTTCATATTGTGAAAATCAACTTTTTTTATGTCGACAGGTTTTGCAACTTGGTTGCTAATTTACAAAAGTGTAAAACGGGTGGCATCCCAGAGGAATCGAACCCACGACGTCCAGCTCCGCAGTCCAAGCCACTATCCACTGCACCAAAAATCCTTTATAACTCCCCCAGAATGACGTCATAGCAGATATGGAATGCGGTTTAGAGATCACCGTCTGGGGACGGTATACGCGGTATACACCGCTTACCCAATCGTCACTGCAATTAAGTATCCTTCCCTGAAAGCTACTTTTTCCAGTATACTGTAGAATTGTTTTGAGGTTTAGGGGATGTTTCTTTTTTAATTGTCAACCACGAGAAATTCGATTTCCATTTTTCAGAACATCTGAAGGCTTATATTACTATACCCTCGCACCAACTGCGTAGGCGTTGCAATATGCGTGAGGTACTTCTTGTTATATTTTTGTCACTAGCCATGAATTGAAACTGATTGTATTTTTTGAGAGAATCGTTAGCAAACAGCGTATACGCAGTATGCAAAATGACGTCAACTAGTGAGCTTTGGATCTACAGTTTACCGGAATTTTTCAATTTTTTCTAGTTCCCTTTGAGTACTATTTTTCAAACTAGATCTAATTATGTGAAATTAAGCTGCAAAATGACAGCTGTACAAAAGACTGTAAATTTTTTTGCAAATGAGATAGTTATTGCAGATGCTGCACTATGAGCGCAACTTTAATGTCACAAAGTGACATTAATTACCATTTTATCGATAAAATTTGCTTTTAATTGAATAGGATACTGTAAACCGAACAACTTTGATGGCCCTTTGGACTTTCTATAAAGACAAATCAAATCGAATATTCAAAGTTACAGTATTTGTTTTTCTTGTACCGTGCCACAAATAAGTCAGAATTTATGGAGCATATATGCGTTGCAAATAGTTGTATAGACAACGTTATAGTAGCATTCGAACTTTCCTAATACCAGAATTTTTTGGGATTTTTGTACCTATATTGGACATCGTAATAGTTTCGAAATGAAGAATACCAAAGCGGCTGTATAAATCAAATAAGGCTGTAATAGAAAGCTATCTTTGAAATAGTATCGGCTTCGGGTGATCAAATAAAAATTCGTAGGCCTCCCCCGTCTTTATTACTATTTCGTGTTATCCTTTCTTCTTCTTTTTAACGTAAAAGACCACACGAAAATTATTCTGATCGCGAACGATGTCATCTTTGGCCAGCTAGCTGATTGAATTATAAAAAGAGGAATATGGAAGACTTTAACCCTTTATTCAACGAATTATTCTCATTTATAGCTAGAAACGTCTGGCAATATCCACCCACCCTGAAGTAGAAATAGTGTAGATGAAAGCGAATGAGTAATTTCAATTCTTTCCCGTCCAAAATTCTAGAACTAAGTTTATTGCTTTGGGAGTAAATTTGATTAATTCTTTCACTTGTCGTTCTGCAACAGCGCAGTACAATAATTTTATCGGAGAAACCAACTCTTCAGTGGTTTAATCGCAGAGAAAAGTTTTGTGTACATTTCATCATAATAACTATATTTACAAGTACTTTTTAAGGACATAAAAACGATTTTGCGTTGCGGCAGCTTCCGTGTAATATGCAATTCATATGATTGAGATTGTCACATTCGCGTAATTACTTCCTTTTTAGAACTCAATCATATCTTGTTTTGTGCATGATGGAGGTGAGATTTTGAGCAAAAAACTGAACATAGTATGGTATTTATACAAAAAAATTTGAAACTCACGTGAGCTTGGTCATATTCGGAGATGAAGTCTGTTATGAAGGGGCACAAAAAAAGGACCAGTATCCAACTGTAAACCGGACAGAGGATACGTTACGATATCTGTTGACTCGGTTTGCTAGTCCTTTTACTGGTAAACCTTTACTATGGATGATAATTTTAGAAACATGAAACAGTTAGCTGCTTGCAGCTAAACTCATAAGTGAGAAGTCAAATATTATTAGGTAGTCAAATGGCTGCAATGGTTCTGAAAATTTCTGTTTCACGTATATTCCATGCATATAAACTTCCCTTTTTGAGTCAGCTTCTACTTGAAAAAATTAGCGGTTCACTTATGTCTTGGAAACAAATCATTCTTTTTACTAATTGCTGAATTTTTCTGGAGACTGAGTCCTTATAGAGGTAGTTTTCAACGGATCTGACTGCGCTCGCGTAATTTTGATTTTCTTGCGCAGGAAAGAGAGGTTTCCTATCATTTGAAAGCACTTAAAGATCTTTTTCCAAAACAGCAATCCTCATGTTCTTTTGATTCTATGGAAATGACTTTTCTAGTAAACATTTCTCACCATCTCATCTTGCAAAACCATGAAAAAAAATGCCTTTTTCGAAGATTTTTTGCCGCGTAGGCGCAGCTTGGATACGCTTAGTCGAAAAGGAATTTCACAGAGAGGATTTTCCCAGCTTTGCTAGGTTCTTTTTACCGCTATTAGCAACGATCCAGACATTTGTTGACCATCCGGATTAATAGAGTTTGTGACGCGTGAATGCTTCATTTTTTATTAGGGGTGCACTTTCGCGTTTCTCCATTTAGTACACAATCTGCTATATTATACCATTATTTGATTCTAAATGCAGTCATTCTCATTTTGGAATGTATTGTAGAATAAGAGTGAAATCACTTGTTTTACTGGATGTAAACAGTTGCAAAATGTTTATCGTATGCCTAGAATTCTGGTTTGTATTTAGGATAGGTCGTAGAATTTTATCGATGAGATTGTTAAAAAAACATATTTCCGATCAGTAATTCATTGACCAGTTTCTCTAACAATTATTTTTTTTGCAGTGGTTCGAAGTTGAATTTTTTTCATCCAAACCCTTTCTTTGCTAATAATTCAAACTCTTCCAGCCATGTGCCAAAGACTCGAGCGTTTCCGAAATCTAAGCAGCAGGGGATCCAACTGTGATATTTTTTCTGTTATGATGATTTGTATATTATTGATAAAAAATAAAATGTTAATTATGTTGGTGGTCATGGAAGTCTGAAAAGCAAGAAAATGACGTCAGCTTAAATTGTTCGCAATGGCGAGCTCTCAAAGTACAATACAAAACACCTGAGACAGACGATGATGCAAAACGGCACAGTTTGTGTGCTTGAACTTTGTCGACTTTTAACTCGAAAATGACGCAATCACGACAATTTACAGAAACAGTATCGCGACTCTACGTCACTTGGGTCAGAGCGAGCATAACATTGTTGAACTATGACTAGACCAATTTTCTTTTTTCTCTGCCATGAATAATCGAAAAATATATGAGAAAGCATGGCAATGTTGCTAAATTGTGTAGTGACTCATCGCGGAACTGGTCGAATTCATTTCGCAGAACTCGAAATGGAAATTCGCCTACGCATCCGAATACATGACAAGAAACACACATCAATCACAGAGACTTTCCTACGATTTTTTTGCAAAAGAAGTGGGGTAAAATTGCTTCAGTTGAGAGTAAATTTCAGTTGCATCGGACTGAGCTTATGCAGTACGAATGTACTTCTAATTCCCTGCAAAATCTTTTGAAATCTTAGAAGATCAATGATCTGTAGGTGATTGGTTAATTGCTAATCAGTCAAATCTAGCTACTAAATGGCTTCGAAAAGGATTTTTTGTTGACAAGATAATTGCTTGAGTGATATCACTCATCATAAAATTAGTTTAAAAGCACTTTTTCAGCGTGTCTCTTAGCTAGATTAGATTTAAATGCAAATGTTCTGTTGATGAAGTTTTCACAAATAAAAATGTCATAGTAAAGATAAGTCCAACGCGTGGGAACTCGAACTCATTCAGTCTAAATTGAAAAGTTTGATGGTGCAAATACACAACAAACTATTCTTTAAAGGTCGTTCAAGCGATCTCTATTCCGTTTTCAGTGCAAAGTGGTCTACGAATTTAGTACCGAAGCACTTGCTGACATTTCAATGATAGAAGTTCAATAGAAACTAATTAGAAGGTGATTTCCATTAAATTTTGCAGAAATAAAAGTGTGTTGATCTTCTCTCTCACTCAGTTCAAAAATCGGTGTAAGATGTGTAGGTTTGACTTCAAGTACTTCACCCCAAACCTGCGTAAATCCGTAATTCTAGTCACTTTAAAGTCTAGACAGCTGTCACTTTCTTGGTGTTACAGACAATACTACGAACTAAATGATCTGCTAGACACTGTAATCATCTTTAGCTCAAACGTAGCTCAAGCTCAAAGATCTAGGCTACATTTAGCATAGGAGAGACAGAAATAGAAGCACATAGAAATGTTAGAATCATAGAACATGTGGGGATAAATCTCCATTTTTTCTGTTCTTCCTATGGTCCGACGCGAGGTGGAATTTTTTGAAAACGAGTTTTCTTTTTCTGCAAAAATTTGCGATTATTCGAAATTAATTCTTTTGAATTTACTAACCCCTTAGAAGCAAAAACCTTGTTTTGCGAACTGGAAAGTGCCCAGGTCAAAGAAGTATGAGTTTGTGACTGCACAGTATTCTAAACTTCTCGGTTATGTTCGATTGGAGCGCGCTATCTCACCTGTGGCAGTGATTTTTGTTGCTGCGACGTGGACACCGCAAGAGATCTACTTTGGTTTTTCCTCCAAAAACGATGTGTATATTTGCCCCCTCGCATCGAGCCTTGTCATAGGGGGGGGGGTTTCAATAGCTTACCTTCAACAAACTGTTTATCGCTATGCTATCAGTAATTAATAACTAGAAATTGTGCTACAATCTTTGTTTCTATTTTCATAAACTTATGCATGTTAACATAACAAAGATCATACGAAATAAATTGTAGCTGAAAAAGAGTAAATGGAACTTGCTGACACAATAAAATCACTATAAACATCAGGTGTGAATAATAGCCATTTAGCACGATGCTTGTATTTTGAATGAAAGGCCATGTCGTCATCAACGATCCTTACGAGCTTTGGCCAAGATATATGACTTGGTATATTCGGCATTCAGTCTCTTCTATTCTGGGAAAAATGTTATATATAGAATTGAAGTTCATTGTGACCATCACCATTCATCGTTGATTATCCACATTCTTGTAGCTTATAAGGTATTTATTGAAACAAATAATACGCACTTTCTAAAACCTTCTTGCACAATAACAGTTGCTTAGGAAAAATTTTCTGTTTGTCCTAATGAAAACGGGAACATACAGTATTCGCTCAGCGATAAGAAATTAGCAGGAAATAGTTTCAAAATACCCGTTATAGCGGAACTGTGCAGATTAGTACACATAAACTTTTTTTCATCCTTTGCTCACTTGTAATTCGTTCCAGCAATTTCCGACCATAACGAATTCTTTCGTAAATTCGAACTTCAGTGAAGAATTCAGTTGCAAAAGAACATCAGATCGAACACTGAGAAAACATTACGTTATTACGGATCATCGTATCCGCTTACTATATGCTTTCAATCTTAGGTGGAAGGGAGATCCCAAGAAGCAACGTAATCTAGATGCATATCTTCCCATTTCCCAAAGCTGACGCAAGAGGAAAGCTTGAAAACGTGATGTGTACTATTTGCAGACGTTATCTGGTCTTTTTGTGGAAATTAACATCATTCTGAAAAATGATACGTTGAGTCACGTCACAAGATGTGTGCCCATCAATGCCATCGTCTGGTATTCTCTTGAAAGGTTTCTAATTTTTGTCAAAAAATTTTTCTGCGTTTAGCACTCAAAAGACATACATGTCTTTGAAAGTTATAATTTCCATGTACATACAAACTCGGAAAATAACTTTCTGCAAGATATTTATCAGCGAATTGTAGCGTGGTTTTGGAAAATGTAAAAATTTCAAAAATTCCATTTTCCCACAAAGTTCTGGATGGCTCAGAATACTATTTTTGTATATCGCCCGCAAATCAAATCCCACACGTTTTAAGATCATTTTTCAGATGGCTCATCTCAGAATTTCCACATTTAGTGTTCGCCTCGGAAAATACCATGCAGGGTGGAATTGCACTGCGTGCACTGAATCTTGGTAGGCCACGCCCCCCGAGTGAAACTCGTCAGAGGTGCACAGAAGCACACATTACCGCATCACCTCGTCCCACCCTCCTTCAAATAGTGGGCGGGCATATCATTGGGGCGGAGTCTAGAGATACAATGATGGCAGAAGTTGTGTGTTGGTCTCGAGGCCGACACAGACGCGCTTCTCATTCAGTAACTCACACCGCAATGTTGGTGAACAGACTACGCCGCAGCAGCTGCACGAACTCGTCCACTATGTCGTCGAACTCGTCCAGGCGGTATCATAGATCAAGCCATAGCTATCGATGGCTGCTATTCGTCTGCTATTTGGCCGCACAAATGTCCTGCACAACGGCTGCACATCCGAATTGCAGCGAAGCATGTTTAGCGGAAATTGCACAGATTCGACTTGAAGATATCAAGGTGAGCAGCCCCGTTCACCTCCCCCGTGGATGGGATTTTATTGTGCTGTTTCACTCGAGGGAAACTAATTTGGGGCCCACCACAGCTGTTTGGCAGAATTATTGCTGTCTAGACCTTCGTTATTCCGATTAATCGGCACTGCATAACTCGCAAATTTACGCTTACCTCTTTCTGGGTGCAAGGAGATCATGGGTCCAACCGTCTGAGAAACTTTTACCGATTGCTCAACTTCCGCACTTACCCAAGTCCAAATTTCAGTCACGAAAAATGGGTAATCTAAAAATTCATTATAGAATCGACTATTGTCATCGATGGGTATGCAAGAACCACCAAAGGTGGACTCCGTAGATCTTCCACCTTCGGCTATCGAGGAAATGATAGAAGGATTGGAAGAGATGGATGAGAAACTAGAGGAAGATACAGCAGAAAAGACATTCATCATAGCTGTGGATCCTTCTGGTAAGTAGTGCAAATTTCAATTTCATTTTGCTTTGATCGCTAATTCCTCTTTGTCTCTTCCTGCTGTAACTATTCATCAAGTAATGGTGAGCATCTCATTCGCTTATCATCTCACACAAATTGGCATTTTAAGCTTCAGTCATCATTTCCAATGCTAACAGTTGTTGCAAAGCTCTTGAAGAACCGTCCCATCTAATTCTGTAATTTTTTTTCACTCTTGCGTCCTCTTCTTTGCTTTAAAATGTGTGAATTGAATTCGGCTGATTATTTCACCCTTCGATTTCGCAATCCATCTAAAGTCATATATTTTTGGAGAGTCCAGTGCGTAAAAAGTGAATTATATCTGCACTGTCTGTGAGAAACCCCCAAAATTTATGATGTTATTAGCTTCGGGTGAAGATTTATAGATGGCTTTTGAAACTGATCATGCTAAATCATGATTGATGTTATTTTGCATAAAGTATCACAAACATTAATGATAAGTGTGAAGGAATAGGTAGTGGTGCGTACGAGGACATAGTTTTTTTAACTTATGATAAATTCGGAAAGAAATACTGCCAAATTAGCTGAGGACTTCGTTCTTTTCAAAAGAAACGGAACAAGTCTCATATCATCACTACTGTCTCAAGTAACAACTTCCATAATCCTATTTCTGTAATTTGCAACTTTCCAAGAACTGTTTTTGTATCAGCCGCAATCCGTAAACTATTCCTGCTTCAGAAGGATTGGATCGTCAAACATTAGTAGCAAATTTTCCTGTCTCGATGACTACAATGATGCGAAAAGTAGCAAAGGTATACTGTAACTATAAATAAGGCTCTTACGACAAGTATAGTTATTTCTTTAGGCATATCTTCACGTATACCTTCATGTAGATCGACCACTTCCTGAACCTGAACCGATTGAAGTGGTTGTTCGAGAACGGCGATTAAATGGAGAGGTACATTACCGGGTTATCCTACCCCTAACCTATGCCTTTAACCCAGCGTTTCAGGTCGGTGACATAGTCGCCACCAAAACCGTCATCATCGAGAAGAGCGATAAAATCGTTGTACCACTCAAAAGTTTTGACGTTGAAAGGTGAGCCATGCGAATCTAAGAAAGGGAGGGCGGGGGGGGGGGGGGGTATCGCAACCGGAAATGTCAACAGTGATGTTGTTTTGTTGACTGTCGGAGATGATTTTTCACCTCGTTAGGTGGTCGCGATGCTGGCACGGTGCCAACAACAATTTTCCTCTCACGTGGGGTAATGAACACTATAAACATCGGCTCAAATTTATATTTTGCATGAGTTAATAGGCAAGAACAACCATGTGATCACTGTTTTGAGAGAAACAACAAAAAATAGCTCATTTGGAGCCGATGAAAACTACATTACCACAAGTAATAGATAGATTAAACATTTGCAGACTATTATTTATACCTATTACTTTATATCTAGAACACAAATTTGTTGAATAAAGTTATTTCTGAAATTGCGCGAAATTTGATGCATATGAATTTGATTCACTCTCTTCTCAGGTGGTGGCGATCGGATCCCATTCTTGGTCTATATGTAGTTGCCATGCTCGACGGTCAAAATATCGCGGTTCATCCACAGGAGGATCGTCATGCTCGTCATGTAAGTTGCAAAATAGGATTTTTTGTCAATATTGTTGAAGCATTCTGAGACGCTTTATATTCTCAAAAGAAAAAGAAGCGTTTTGAAGTTTTGCCCAAGAAGGCGTACCACGTCCCGCTACCATATTGTCACGCTTGATTCTTCAAAAGCTTGCTAACTGACGAAATAAGTATGACCCAGGAAAAAAGGTCTTTAACTAATGTTTACTCTACTGTTGTACAAAAGGAACGTGCTACGAAGAAGCTGAAGAAACTTCATTTGTCACACATTACCTATAACTTTCGAAAAGGTCAAAATTATTTTTGGCAGTCATTTTAGCTTAGATCAAGATCAGTTGATAATTGCGTCACATTTCGTCATACAAGTAAGAAACTTTCGTACTGCGGTTGCTTTACCAAAACCAAATAGGTCACTTAGACTTGCACCGTAGCATCCGCTGCAGACGTCTTAATTTCCTAAAACGCTTTTTGACGTCTGTCTGGCACTGATTGGGCGCGGGTCTATTTAATTGGTGTAGAATTTCTGGGCCACTTGACACTCTATATTGGACCACTTTTACGGTGTGGTACCAGAGTGTGCGGAGTACGGTAAAAGAAAATTTCAGATGAAAAAGAAAGGGGATCTAATTGCATATAAGAAGCCTCCACCATGGAAATTGCAAAGCGGCGTTTATTGTAACGATACGGCAGAGTTGCCTCCAGTTTTAGAAAGAAAGCGCAGACAGAATAGAGATGTAGTGTTCCTAGATAATTCACACCTTAGTACATGCGCATATATATGTAAACTTCAAATTTCAACTTCCAAATGGGTTTCTCGTACAAAAGCACTATATTTTTGAAATCGCTTTTTTGGTGTTATCTCTTCTTTCCTGCAACTTACCTAGCTTTTGCTGCCTTCATTTCTCTCATCCGTCTTCCATCAGAATTCTCTTTGACAGCGGTGATGTTCCACATCTAGACATGCAAATCAATTTTCATCCATGCATCTTTGTGTTCGTTGATCATCTCCACATCAAATGCAAGCTCAAGCTCGATGGCTTTGAACATGAGAGGGTGTGCAAAAGCCACGAAACTCGACTGGACTGATAAATTAAATTCTGCTGCTTACTTGGCTCCAAATGCGGAATTCTATTTTGTTTGGTTTTGAGGTGCGCAGCTCACAGCTTATCAGCAATGCAAGTTGATTCCAAGATTTCATGATGGAGAAAGCAGCTTTTTGAGAGTTCGGTCAACCTCAGCGATAAGGAGCGCTAACCGTTTAGTAAAATTCACATGTCTCTCATTCTGTCTGTGAGTCATTTTTATAGAAGCAAGTTCCTTGAAGATGACGTCAACAGGGGATCCATGAAAACGGTAATGAACATCATGTGGAAAGGCTTACTTGCAAATTGTAATACTTTTTCCAATTAACTGCACTCATCAAATCGTTTTGCAAGCAAATGTTGCAAGTCTAAAGCATTTGCACAAATGAAGGTACCAGGGTCGTGGAGAAATTGGAAAGTCTTTCGTAAAGATAGTGAATACATCTATTCTGAAAGTCATTTACCTAAAGAAACAAAAAACTTAGATAACTTTTGGAGATGACTGGCTATGGCAAATTTTTTTTCGAGTAAAAGACGTGCCTGTTTTGCAACAAATTGCATGACATATTTTTACCATATCCAGGTACCCTAAAATCTGAAATATAATCCCTCCCCACAGATAAGTCCGCCCTGAATAGATAAATCCGCCTGCAAAGACCCTTGACGATGCGCATTCTGCTTATCTCTTGGAATAGAACGGGCTTATCTGTAAACGAACTTTTCTGTTAGTAGGATTTTCTTGGAAAAAAGCTGACACGTATGCTGGATTCAAGGGTAGTTCATTAGATCGCCTTTATCCTTCAGCATAACAACTTTGCATAATCTAGGATTTCAAAAGATTTGGTATACTATTCCTGGAACTTGACATTTTCGGTGCTTACCTGTTGTTTTTCATTCTGATGAGAAAGCAAGCCATAGCTTTTTGAGCTTAACTCACTATTCTCTAATTCTTAATTTTTTGTAGGAAAATCATATCTGATCTTTTTTTTTTCATGAAAACTTTCCGATACAGCTCAGCAGTGTTAACAATCTTTTATAAATGCCCAAAACCAAATAAATCCCCATTTCAGACCATGTTCATGTCAGTCACGCTGGATTCCTCTTCGTCATCAAGACGGAAGCGAAGTCCAGCTGTTTGCACACCCGAAGACCAAGAACCTGGTTGCTGTCTTTATGATCTCACTGTAAGTTTATCAAATTTTCCAATCGAGAGCAAGGATCCTTGAGTCTGATTGCTCAGTGATAAACTCGCGATGATTCTCAGGGGATATAAAGTGCGGTTCATGATTATACGAACACCAAAAATTTTGTAAGTTTTTGGACTTTTTGAGAGAAACTCAAAAAGCCGTTGGTACCACGCGATAGAACACAGCCGAAAACGGTATATGATTCATAAGAATGGAAATCGATATCAATTTTAGGAGTGTTTTTGCGCCTAATGCAAATTTTTAGCGGTTCATAATTATACGACCTCAAACAAATGTCCATTTTTCATTCAAGATTGCAATCGTTTGAGTCCAAATTTTTTTAGGAGTTACAGTAACAAAGTTTGACATATCTGCTACACACTGAACCCAGTGCAGTTAAAACGAGGACCGTCCCTTTTTTCAGAATGCTCTAAATGCTTTCGGAGTGATTGGGCTCTAGAAGCATCCGTTCATCTGTGGTTTACGCGCTCTAATTAGCTTCTACCAAAGATATGAGATAAAATAAGCTCTTTCTATAGATATTTCGTTTGACGCTTGAAAAATCTTTGCGTTTTCGTGCCGTTTTTCAACCAAGTTCCATCCTTAACACAGAGTTAGCACGATTTCGAGCCTCAAAACTCAGCTTCTCTCTTGCGCAAACATTTGATATGAAGCAGCTGCATTGCTTGCATGAGGATATTTTTGTACCAAAGTTTTTGGGTTTTTTCTAGAACTGATCTTGCGGCTGTGGAACTACAAACCAAATAAAGGTGAGATTGCAATAGTAAAAACAGTATTTCTGGTGAAATAACTTCTGCGTGACCAAAACAAACGCTCAACGCTGCTGATTTTTTCTAGGCAAATATAAAGTCTCGTAAACTTCTACATACTATATGCTTACTTCATTGTACGGCTTCAGAAGCTGAGTTTTGAGGCTCGAAATCGTGGTAACTCTGTGGTAAGGTTGGAAATTGGTTGAAAAACTGTACGAAAACGCAAAGATTTTCAAAGCGTCAAACAAAATACCTATCGCAAGAGCTTATTTCATCTCAAAGCTTTGGTAGAGCTAATTAGAGCGCGTAAACCACAGAAGAACGGATGTTTTTGAAGCCCAATCACTCCGAAAGCATTTAGTCCCTTTTGAAAAAAGTAACGATCCTCTTTATATAGCAGATATGTCAGACTTTGTTACCGTAACTCTACAAAAAATTTGGACTCAAATGATTGCAATCTTGAATGAAAAATGGACCTTTGTTTGAGGTGTTCGTATAATTATGAACCGCTAAAAAATCGCATTAGCGCAAAAACACTCCTACAGTTGACATCGATCTCCATTCTTATGGATCACATACCGTTTTCGGCTGTGTTCTATCGCGTGGTACCAACGGCTTTTTGAGTTTCTCTCAAAAAGTCCAAAAACTTGCAAAATTCTTGGTGTTCGTATAATTGTGAACCGCACTTTAGATCTTCCTAATACATTGAAACGCTTTACATATATGATTTTGGAGCATCTGAAGCATTTTTGCCAATCTCTTGACTTGCTGAAAAGTATTTATGCATCATTTATTATACATCACCTACAGAGAAGCGAAAAGAGGGTGGCTTGAGCAGGAAGGGGATGGGAAGAGTTCCTGTATGAGCATGATGTTGACAAACCTAGTTACGAAATGTGCTAGCTTCCGGACCTTTTGCGCAATTTTCAAAGTACCGCAGTACATTATGTCTGAATAAGAGATCACGTAAGCGACGGCTCATGCAGCTCAATCCTCTGCTGCCTTCGCAAACTTGTTTCACTTATTAGAAATGAGAATCCATGATCGTTGATCTCTTCAACGAGCAATGATGAAACGCTTGAGATGATTTATTTGAAGTAATATTATTTCTAGGTGGATTTTCAACAAATGGGATGGAACTTCATCATCGCACCGCATAAATACAACGCCTACATGTGCAGAGGAGACTGTACACTGAGTCATCCTCATGTAAGTTCGATATCTAGAATTCAGAAATGAAATGACTGAACGATCCATCCTTTACTTTCTTCCATAAATAGTTATCTAGATTGAAAGTTGAGTTTCCGAAGCTTGAAACTGGACTATGAAAAACATCATCTCTTTGAAACTTCTGGACTGAGTCACTTTCAGGTCTCTCGAGCTGGACATACAAAAGTGGCGAAGACGGGTATTATCACTCGGCAAGATGCTACAGGAACGCAGGGCATGTGCTGTCATCCAGCAGAGTGCGTTTTTTGCAATTTTTCAAGTTCTAAAACTAGATGAGCACTAGAAATGTCATGCCATCCACTCTGCCGACATATGCTCAAGATCAAAGATCACATTTTTTCCAGCCACGTTTTTGCTGATGCATGTTCTATGAAATTCTCTTTTGCATTCCTGCACATTCGGAATACAGAAAAAGGAATGTTAGAACTTTTGTGGACAAAATTACTTTCTAACAATTCCTGTAGTAATCGAATCGCACTTTCATTCTCTAAGCGACATTAATTCTATTCAAGTAAATTGCAAATCGCTGCCGGAGCGCTTCCCCTTCAGGTGCAATATTCTGCCTGTGGAACAGTTTGTAGGGACGTAAATGTACACTCATTGTTATGTTTCATATAGTAACAATCTTTGAATGAATTTACTAAAAAGCTACTGATTTACAGTTTCTTTTTTCAAGGAAATGAAATTAGATGTAATAGCAGCTGAAGTTCTTAAAAGAAAGCTCAAGCTCGTTTTCCATATAACAAACAGGAGCTGAAATTGTAGTGTACTAGCTTTTTCCGATGCGTGCAGAAATCAAGCAAGCACATACTATTTTCAGCACAATTGGAATAGCCTACCCGAAAAGAAAAAAATCAAGATTTCTCTACTTTATGAGCTACCCTATTTCAGGTATGATGCAATACGAATGATTTATATGAATGCTGATAATCAAGTAACGGTGGCTCGAGTTCCGGGTATGATCGCACGCAAATGCTCGTGTTCTTGATTCTACTAGCACTTTTAATCTCTTACTTTCCAAAATTCCGGTATCTATACGGTCCCTGGCGATCTCATCTTCGAATTCTTCATAGATAATCGCCTTTCGCATATTAAGTGTTTGCAATTTATAAGGTCTCTTTTTCTTTTTTATTTACCTCGGCGTGCATCTTATACAAGACGTATATAGATTTTCTTAGGATTTATAGAATGCCTATTCTGATTTCATTTTCCGCTCTCCCTTAATCTTATAGGCCCTTTTCAATTTATCTGTATGCAATTTCTGCCTTTGTCCGTTTAATGCCATGTGTATGTGCGCTTGTTTCGTATTAAAACGATAGCGTGATTCCAGTGCTAACACCGTGATGTGATCCCATATTTTGTCGATAGATTTTAACTATTTTAAAATCTTTCTTTCATTTCATTTTAGTTATTGAATCCACGAGGCTGTGCGCTTATACAGGTGTGATATGTATGTTCGAATCTCGACCTATGGCATCTCCAGTTACGAGCTTTTTCCAAATAAACGGTTGTAATCAAAGCTTCACATGCATTAAATGTTACTTGAGTTATGACTAAATGATCTGTAAGAACATACTCCCTGGTTGTTATCTTGGATTTTCGGTCCAGTCTTGCAACTTGCATCCATCATATGGTCTATCTTTAAATAGCAGTTTCTCCTTCTTTTGCGAAAGACCAACTTTTAACACTTTCTGTCTGCAGGCAAAGCGAATTCCTAGCAGTTTAATCTTTGTCTACGAAAATAGACATGATGAAAGTAAACCTGTCCTAAGACTGATGAAGCGACTGATGTCAGAGTGAAAGCCGTAAAAAAGTGTACTAAATTTCATCCGCACTCTGGTCCTAAGCAAGGGAAACAAGGGTTGTAATCAAAAAAAAAAACTAGGGCATTCTTAGCCAAGATACATTTAGCATCTTGAAGGATACTGACATTTATAATCCAGGCAGATTTCTCTGCTTACACCAAGTCATGTTGCTTCGTCTCTCCCACCACCACATGTTCCGCTGTGAGAAATTGGCGCTCCGTTTCAAAAGTGTGATTTCAGGAGTGCATCGGTTAACATTTGCAGCGTATCCCTACGCGAATGATGTTTGCCCGCATAACTCGGAAGAAAAAACATTGAAGATAGCACTGATGTGACAAAAAGGATTTTGGACAGAACGTGTCGAATGAATGCTAAAACGGGCATTGAGATTAGGCTCATGCTTTTAGAAGCCATCACTACCAATGGCTTGGTCAGAAAGCATCTCATTGTGGACCATCAGCCCCTTGAATCTTTGGTAGCTATTAGTCACATATTAGTCACCACATATCAGCTCAGCATCAGACTTCCCGCAGCGGAACACGATTGACCGGTAAAAACCAAAAGCCTTTCCCAGCTTTCCCACGTTTTTCATGCCATAGTAGAATCAAGAAAGCGCACAAGTTTTGCCTGCTTCTCCGAAACAACTCTAGCTGTGCCTCATACTGACCACATCTCCACCAACACAGAGTGCTATGCCCACCTCAACAGCAATTAGGCAACTGCCGATGGTGCTGCTCCACACCATCTGCAACATATAACGAAACACTGCTAATGAAATATGCAACAACTCAGCGATGCTGTTCAGCAAAAGGACAAATTCCGCTCTAGCAATGTTCTGCGCAACATCAAGTGAAACAAGCATTAGTCGATAACGCCCCATCGAAGGTAAACGACATATGCAACGATACAGAGTGGTGCCTTAACACCATTCGGGCAACTGCAGATACACTCTGCAACAACAAAATGAGTGCTCAACACCATCTCCAACAGATAGCGAGCTCGACATTGAATACAGAGACGTATACAACAACACAGAGTGGTATGCTCCAACACGACTGATGTTCCTGAAGGCTAACTCTGCAAGAGCAAATTGGTGCTGTCCACACCATCTGCAACGGATAGCGAACTCGACACTGAGTACTGATGGTATGCAACAACTCAGAGTAGTAACTCAGAGTAGTATGCTTCAACACCACTGATGCAACTAAAGGCTAACTCTGCAAGAGCAAATTGGTGCTGCTCCACACCATCGGCAACGGATAGCGAACTCGACACTGAGTACTGATGGTATGCAACAACTCAGAGTAGTATGCTTCAACACCACTGGTGCAACTAAAGGCTAACTCTGCAGGAGCAAATTGGTGCTGCTCCACACCATCTGCAATACAGATAACGAACTCGACATTGTATAGTGACGAGTTATGCAACAACACAGAGTGATATGCTTCAACATCACTGATGCACCTGAAGGCTAACTCTGCAGGAGCAAATTGGTGCTGCTCCACACCATCTGCAGCGGATAGCGAACTCGACACTGAGTACTGATGGTATGCAACAACTCAGAGTAGTAACTCAGAGTCGTATGCTTCAACACTGATGCAACAAAAGGCTAACTCTGCAGCAGCAAGTTGATGCTGCTCCACGCCATCTGCATCACAAATAACGAACTCGACATTGTATACTGACGACAACTGTAACAAAAGAGATCTCTCAACGCTATTTGGGCAACTGCAGGTAAATTTTCAACAACAATAAATGGTTGTTCTAAACCATCTGCAACAAGTGGCGAATTCGACAATGAATGCTGACGATAGTAAGAATGCAGAGTAGTATGCTTCAACACTATTGATGCAACTGATGGCAAACTCTGCAACAGCAAGTTCATGCTGCTCCACACCATCTGCAATACAGATAACGAACTCGACATTGTATAGTGACGAGTTATGCAACAACAAAGAGTGATATGCTTCAACATCACTGATGCACCTGAAGGCTAACTCTGCAGGAGCAAATTGGTGCTGCTCCACATCATCTGCAACGGATAGCGAACTCGACATTGAGTACTGATGGTTGCAACAACTCAGAGTAGTAACTCAGAGTCGTACGCCTCAACACCACTGATGCAACTAAAGGCTAACTCTGCAAAAGCAAATTGGTGCTGCTCCACACCATCTGCAACGGATAGCGAACTCGACTCTGAGTACTGATGGTATGCAACAACTCAGAGTAGTAACTCAGAGTCGTATGCTTCAACACCAGTGATGCAACAAAAGGCTAACTCTGCAGCAGCAAGTTGATGCTGCTCCACGCCATCTGCATCACAAATAACGAACTCGACATTGTATACTGACGACAACTGTAACAAAAGAGATCTCTCAACGCTATTTGGGCAACTGCAGGTAAATTTTCAACAACAATAAATGGTTGTTCTAAACCATCTGCAACAAGTGGCGAATTCGACAATGAATGCTGACGATAGTAAGAACGCAGAGTAGTATGCTTCAACACTATTGATGCAACTGATGGCAAACTCTGCAACAGCAAGTTCATGCTGCTCCACACCATCTGCAATACAGATAACGAACTCGACATTGTATAGTGACGAGTTATGCAACAACAAAGAGTGATATGCTTCAACATCACTGATGCACCTGAAGGCTAACTCTGCAGGAGCAAATTGGTGCTGCTCCACATCATCTGCAACGGATAGCGAACTCGACATTGAGTACTGATGGTTGCAACAACTCAGAGTAGTAACTCAGAGTCGTACGCCTCAACACCACTGATGCAACTAAAGGCTAACTCTGCAAAAGCAAGTTGGTGCTGCTCCACACCATCTGCAACGGATAGCGAACTCGACTCTGAGTACTGATGGTATGCAACAACTCAGAGTAGTATGCTTCAACACCACTGATGCAACTAAAGGCTAACCCTGCAAGAGCAAATTGGTGCTGCTCCACACCGTCTGTAACACAGATAACGATCTCGACATTGTATACTGACGGGATATGCAACAACACAGTGGTATGTTTCAACACCACTGATGCACCTGAAGGCCAACTCTGTAAGAGCAAATTGGTGCTGCTCCACACCATCTGCAACGGATAGCGAACTCGACTCTGAGTATATGCAACAACTCAGAGTAGTATGCTTCAACACCACTGATGCAACTAAAGGCTAACTCTGCAAGAGCAAATTGGTGCTGCTCCACACCGTCTGTAACACAGATAACGATCTCGACATTGTATAGTGACGAGTTATGCAACAACTCAGAGTAGTATGCTTCAACACCACTGATGCAACTAAAGGCTAACTCTGCAAGAGTAAATTGGTGCTGCTCCACACCATCTGCAACGGATAGCGAACTCGACATTGAGTAATGATGGTATGCAACAACTCAAAGTAGTAACTCACAGTGATATGTTTCAACACCACTGATGCAACTAAAGGCTAACTCTGCAAGAGCAAATTGATGCTGCTCCACACCGTCTGTAACACAGATAACGATCTCGACATTGTATACTGACGAGATATGCAACAACACAGTGATATGTTTCAACACCACTGATGCACCTGAAGGCCAACTCTGCAAGAGCAAATTGGTGCTGCTCCACACCATCTGCAAAGGATAGCGAACTCGACACTGAGTATATGCAACAACTCAGAGTAGTATGCTTCAACACCACTGATGCAACTAAAGGCTAACTCTGCAAGAGCAAATTGGTGCTGCTCCACACCATCTGCAACGGATAGCGAACTCGACATTGAGTACTGATGGTATGCAACAACTCAAAGTAGTAACTCAGAGTCGTATGCTTCAACACCACTGATGCAACTAAAGGCTAACTCTGCAAGAGCAAATTGATGCTGCTCCACACCGTCTGTAACACAGATAACGATCTCGACATTGTATACTGACGAGATATGCAACAACACAGTGATATGTTTCAACACCACTGATGCACCTGAAGGCCAACTCTGCAAGAGCAAATTGGTGCTGCTCCACACCATCTGCAAAGGATAGCGAACTCGACACTGAGTATATGCAACAACTCAGAGTAGTATGCTTCAACACCACTGATGCAACTAAAGGCTAACTCTGCAAGAGCAAATTGGTGCTGCTCCACACCGTCTGTAACACAGATAACGATCTCGACATTGTATACTGACGGGATATGCAACAACACAGTGATATGTTTCAACACCACTGATGCACCTGAAGGCCAACTCTGCAAGAGCAAATTGGTGCTGCTCCACACCATCTGCAACGGATAGCGAACTCGACACTGAGTATATGCAACAACTCAGAGTAGTATGCTTCAACACCACTGATGCAACTAAAGGCTAACTCTGCAAGAGCAAATTGGTGCTGCTCCACACCATCTGCAACGGATAGCGAACTCGACACTGAGTATATGCAACAACTCAGAGTAGTATGCTTCAACACCACTGATGCAACA